ATGGAGTAGGTCTGTATTTACTTAAGAACTAATAGTTCTGCTGTAGCCTCAGAAACTGGTAACTCTTGCTAATAAACATAAGATTGGCAGGCCTTTTCAACAGTACAAAGGAGGGGGGAAGAGAAGATGGATTCTTAGTCATAATTGCTTAGTGTGGAAACCAAGTCATTTTCAGACATATTTTCAAGAAAAAATTGGCACTGATTGCCAGCCCATCTCCTAGCTGTATCACCCGCTTCATGGTTTCATTGTATTACTCAGTGCTACTTAACTCACTTGACACAGCATGATTGGCTTGTCGGGTGGGAGGGTCTGTGCTTCTGGAATATCATTCATCTGGTGGTTCCTATAAGAGTCTGGGTTTGGCGATGTGCAAGATATATCTATTTATCCAGGTCTTTACTACATATTCTGTAGGACTGCACTGCAGCAAGGTATGAAAATTAAGTAAAGTCAAGTTAAAACAGGAAATGCACCCTTTAGAATTCTTTACAGCTGAAGTGTTGTTCAACCCAGTCTTCCTTAAAAGCAAAAAACAGAAAAAGGGTTTGTTCAGCTTTTCAGAAGGCTGATTGCAGCCTCATCACTAGGCTCCAAGTCTGTTCCTTTAAGTGATCCATAAATCAGAATAAGATTCAGATTAGTGGTCACGTTCCATTAAACTGTTTTTGGGTAGGCGTCTGGTTCTGTCTCATCTGCTGTCTTTACCTCTCTTTTGAAACAGTGGAATTGTGCTGGGGAAGATCTTCCACAGCCCATTCTTCGCTGTAGACATACCAACTCACCACGTATGATTATCTTTCATAACACTCACCCCTTTAATATAGTCTTCCCCCTCCACTCCCTTGCAAGCTCCACCTCTCTCGTACCTTTTTTTCCACCTTACCTAGCTGACCTAATAGAAGGAGAGAGAGGTGATGCACTCTTCTCTATCTGCAACACCTACTGCTGTGAAATACAGGCCTCTTCCAAATGGGTAATTTCCCTTTGTTCTTAATTTATCAGTCCTCTGAAATTTATTTACCACAGCTATCCCTGAGGCAAAGTGGGAGAAAGTAGGCTCACACTGGCAAATCAGAGGCAGCTGTTGGGCTTCTGCCGAGGAAGCAGTCCATCCAATGACTACTTAATCTAAATAAGTGCATTGTTATAGTTATCCCATCAACCTCCAGGGTTGTACCAGGCCCACAACAGTGTAGAAATTAGAGAGGGAGAAGATCTCTCTCTCTGCTCTGTCCTGTTTAACTCAAAAGTGAGTAGTGTAGCTTTCAATAACACAGCTACTAAAAGATGCTACATAAGCTCCTACCGTGATAGATTTGAAAAGGAAACAGCACAGCCACAAGCACTAGCTTGTTTACTCTGAGATGGAAATGCAATAATTTTTTTCAACTTTAACACACACAAAAAGTAAAATCAAGATACACATAGCAGCTCTGCTGGGGGTCCCAAATGGTGATGCTGGTGCTGTAAGTGTGGAATAAGACCTTTCCTGGCAGAGTGCAAGAGGTTCCACACATAGAAGTACTATGGAGCTGTGGCTGCAGCTGGGGACCAGAAAACTGCCAGAAGCTTCTTCTAAGATGTCTGTCCAACTTGTCTTGCTTTCTCCCTTGACTTCCCACAGTGGTATTATCTTCACTTGGAAAAAATCAAGGGGGTTAGGGAGGGAGGTTTAACCATTGTTAGCTAACACATCTTGAAATGTGGACAAGGCAGGTTGTAGGGTCCCCCTATGTGTTCATCTCAACCTGCTAGCCTATATGTAAGCTAGAACTGCCCTGTCTGCACTAGAATTTTATTGCATGTTGGCTAATGCGGCAATAAACCCACCCTTTTTTCTAGTACTGAGGTACCTGTGTGGTTTTGTTTCCATGTGTGGCCACCAATAGCTTCCCTTTCCTTCCAGAATGCAGCCCTCTGGTGAATAGTGGTAGAAACAACATGGAAGCTCTAAGGTTAAGGGGTGGGTTGGGGGAAGCAAACTGGAAAAGAGGATGGGGAAAATAAGGGTTAGGAAAGATGGAAAGGGAATTAAGAATAGGAAGAAGAGATAAATAGGGAGTGAACTGGAAGAAAGTTCAGAGGAAAGGAGAAAACTGAGGTAACTGAGATGGAGAGAAAAATAGGAACAAAAATAAAGCAAAATCTATATGGAAAAAAATAAAGACAAGAAGGGAAAGGAACTGATGGAAAGGGAAGAGGTGGGATCCACATCAAGGTTGACATGTAAGCACCAGGTGCAAGAGACAGCCACATAGTCATCACAGATATGGAGCAAGGCATGTCTCCCATCCCAAAAGGTTGAAACCATGGTCTGACCCAGAGAAAGAATGAAGATTCACAGCAAGCCGGGAAGAAAAGGCTTATCTGGAAAGAAGTGGGAGAACAGTCCATGCCATAATGGTGATGGTACAGATGTGCAAGAAGCCATTGATGCATCCTCAGCATTCGAACATTATTGTTGTTCTCCATAGTGATCTAGTCTGTATTTTCTCAAAGTCGTCCAGCTTGCTGAGTCATTTATAAACCACTTACACAAGCCTAGGTACTTTACTGCACTGCTCCTCTGTGCATGAAGCTGCTTATGCCAACATTGCGATTCTATTTTTCTTACCATCAACTAAACCTCATTCTCTCAAAAAGTACTTGGGCACCTAAGCCACCTGACTGCAGGCAGTGGGTTCCCATGCCTCCCTGGAGCTTGCATTTAAGCGACTAACTAGGAGAAAGGGTTGAGGCCTAACACATTCCCCAGCCTGTGGGCATCTCCCATGGGCTAGTTTAGGCAGATTTCATTTGCAGTCATCTAGCTTTCCCCATTCACTGTATAGGGAACCTAGGTGCCTAACTCAGCTTTGTGGATCACAGCATTGTTCCTCTGATATTCTAGGTGCCTAAAAGTTAGGTGCCATGATATCAGTGTTGTGATCCTTAAATCCCTTGGTGGATCCCACCCCCGTAGAGATTAAAAGAAAGTTCAGCAAAGTGCAGGCTTGCTCAAAACAATTTACTTGGGGTTTCCTTTCTAGCATCTGTTTTTCAGTTGTTGGAATTCCAAAAAATCCTCTGCTCTGGTGCTTATCTGCAAATTATATTAATTTCCATGGCAACAGAATGAACAAGTGCCATGAGGTGGTTTACAGAAGAGGAAAGTATTATTTAAATGTATACCTGTTTGTATGTGGTGTGTTAGGAGTTGATTTGTGTATATCATAACAGAGGCCAGGGATTTATTCATATTTTCTGCCTTCTCTTTTCTTTCCCCACTCATGCGGTTGCTCCTACAAAACTTTCTCCCTAAAATTATGCCAACATCTCTTAGAAATGCACATTCTGCCACCCTTACATGGGTCTATGGGACTAACTCACTGTGAGTAAGGCTGGCAGACTCTGTTCCACAAAGAGGAATTACAAGTTACATTTTATAGCATGTGTATCAGAGGCTAGGAAAACATAAAATCATCTGAGCATTACTTTTTCTAGGTTAGGGGACTATGATGCTCCTAAATTAATAGTTTACATGATACATTACAATGCAAATAATAAAAGGGGGCCCGTTTGGTATAAACCAACTGCAGGAAGTGTTTCTGATAATCATAATATGAGTTTATGTAATGACTTTGTCCAATACCAGTTTCCTTCAAACAAACATTTGCAAACAAGATGAGGCACTTTAACCTGATTAAACTATTACAGGTGCATGGCATCAGCATTATTACTTTAGTGCCACCACAAAAGTGCATGGTGTTTGGCAGGTAGTCTTTGTTGTTGTTTACAATCTAAACTTTAACTTTTGTAGAAGGCAAATATTTTATCTTGTAGATATCGCTCAGCATGAAAGATAGTTGGAAGAAGATAACACGATTCTTTTCTTTATAGCTATCTTGTCACTCAATCCGCATGATAAGAATGCCTGATGTCTCTTTTCAATTTTCTTTTCCTTGAAGTAACCAGGGAAATTCAGTAGGGTTGGTCTGGCCAATCTTCTGCCGCTGGAGGCCGCTAAACTCTACGGGCAAAACAGCGACAGTGCAACGCGGAAGTAGGAGCCTAAACTAAAATCTATTGCAAAGTTGGTTGAGGAAGCTTTCCCGAACAGAACTGAAGGGTTAGATGTCCCCGCGTCCAAGAGCCCCACTTCTCTGATGAGACAACAGAATGCCTCAGTTCAGTCTCCTGTCTTCCTTTGCCTTACGCGTTTTAGGTTTTCTCCTCCCCCACGCTGTATTTAACTCTTGTCGGGGACTGTGGGATACAAGGTGTGCGAGGCAGGCGAGGCAAGGTAAAGTCGGATTGCTGCTTGTCTGCCGTTACGTGGCGCATCGCCCTGTACCCAGGCTGGCGTTAGATCAGTTTGCCCCCGGCTGTTAGCCTACGCAGGGACAAATGTCAATACCTGGAGCTGGGGGAGCGGATTGGATACCGACTCTCACGGTGCAACGGCCTGGCTAGAGCCCAGCGCAAAGCGCATCCCCAGCGCACCGAAGGCCACCCCTGGGGCAGCGGATTTTTGTCAGCCCCTTGAATGGCCGGGCGATGAAATAGTTTTGGGGCTGGAGTCTCCCGGCAGGGGACGCTGACCGCAGGAGGTGCGGCCGGCAGCCAGGCTCCCGCTCCCCGGCACACACACCCCCCCCCCCCGCACGCGCGCGCCCGCCCGCCCGGTGGGGGCAATCTGGTGGGGGGGAGGGGCGGAGGAGAGAGGGCAACGGCTGCTGACGAGAGACCCCAGCCCAAGGCGGGTGAGGGGAGACCACCTCCACCTGCAAAGCCAAGCCCAGGGAGAACCCTCGGGAACCCCAACGCCCGACCGGGCGGGGGGGGGGTTAGCTGGGAACCCCCAAGCTTCGGGGGTGCGCCCACCCCACAGGTGAGGAATGTAAAGGGGCGTGGCTGGGTTTGACCAGGGGGGGTCGCTCGTCTTCCATCGCTCCTCAGGCAGCGGGGCTCTCCCCTTCCTCGGCGAGGCCCTGGACCCCGCTGTGGGAAGCCTGGGGGTGGGGGTGACGGGGTCCCCCGCGCACGAAAGGCGGCGGAGGAGTGTCTGTGCCCCCGCCCGCCTGTCCCGCCAGCCTGCTCCACCCCTGGGGCGCGCAGGAGGCGCCCATCTCCTTTTCTGGCCGGGGCTATTTGCATAGCCCCCGCGTGCGCTGGGAGCGCGGGGAGGGGGTGGGATTATTGCCGAGTTCCCTTCCACCCCCCGGGGGGGGGGTTACAGAGGATCTCCCCCCTCCCCGGTTTAAGACACACTGAAGGAGAAAAGCGGCTCCTCCGCCGCTTCCCGCCCCACTTCTCCCGCAGCCGGCTCCCAAGCGCCGCCGCCTCTTGCTGCTGCGGCTGCGGCTGCTGCTGCGCGCCCCGGGCAGGAGCCGCTCGCTGCAGCCCGAGGGCGGATCGGGGCCGCCGCAGACCCGCTCTCTCTGCTGCGGGACCATGAGCCAGGGCGACGGGAGGCTGCGAGGGGCGGCGGCTGCCGCCGGGCTGCCCCCAGCCGGCGCCCGGTGGGCGGGGGGCGGCGGCGGCTCCGCAGCCCTCTGCCTGCTCCTCTCGCTCACCTCGCTGGCCGCCTGCCTGCTGCTGAGCGCCAAGACGTGCGAGCTGCAGGGCAGGGTGGCGGCGCTGGAGGAGCGGGGCAGCCCCGGCTGGGCACCGGGAGTCCCCCTGAGCCCCGGACCGCTGCTCGCCCTGCTGCAGCCCCACATGGAGCAGCTCTTCCGGGAGGTGAGTATTGCGGGGGCCGGGCATGGGCTGCGGGCTCCCCGCAGGGGATTTTGCTCCCGGCGCTGGGCTCCGGCCCCAACTTGAACCCCCAGGGATGGGGCTGAGCCCCGAACCCCTGAGTGTGTCGGAGGGAGCACTGCAGCCTGGGGGCTTTGCAAGTCTCTGGGGGGTGTATGGCACAGCTCTGGCTTGGAGGCTGCCTGGCATACGGCAGAGAAATGGGGGCCTTGCGGGGGGAGGTCCCAAGACGAGCCTCAGCTCCCCCTGTGCCAGGGGGCTGGGGCCAGAGTGGCCTTTGCGTTCCCATCAGTACCTGACCCCTGTAGAGCCTAAAGGATGCCCAAGCCCCGCCCCGTAACATTAAGCCTCCCCGGCTTGGGTTCTGGCTATGCCGTGGGTTCAGTTCCCAGTGAAGTGAGCGGGAGCTGAAGGTACTAGTACTAGGCAGGATCGGGCCCAGCTGTGACTGTGAGGTGGGCGAGTATCATTATCCCAAAGGGAGACAGGAGAGGTTCCATGACGGCCCGAGGTTACATGAGTGCAGTCAATGTTACCTGCTAACTGGTGGCAGGGTGCAGACTGGTTTCAGAGTAGCAGCCGTGTTAGTCTGTATTCGCAAAAAGAAAAGGAGTACTTGTGGCACCTTAGAGACTAACCAATTTATTTGAGCATGAGCTTTCGTGAGCTACAGCTCAGGCACAGAGATGGTTAAATGAACTGCTTAAGGTGATATGCTGCCTAGTGGCAGGGGGCACAATAAACCCCCTAAAGTGCAGTAGCTCTTGATTACAAGTTTGAGTAGCAGGCCATGAAAGATGGGATTATTGATTACTTACCTTGCAGCTAAAGTAATCGATTAAACAGTATAAGCACCTCTGGACTCTGAGAAGAATACTGTTGATATAAATGAAAAGTGTAAATACTGTGGGTCAGATTCTGCCACCTTTATTCACACTGAATACCTTACTTTGTGAGTAGCCCTGTTGATTTCAAGGTGGTTAACTTGTGGAGTAAGATGTGGAAGAGTTTGGCCCTTCAGTAGTGATTTATAAGGGGGAAAAAAATCCGTGAATACAGCAAATTTTATTCCTGTGGGAAAAGAGAATCCCTGTATTTAAAAAAACATTTATCTTTGGCTGTAATGGACAACTATTTTTATGTTACACGTACATTAACGTGGTCCCCCATTATTTTAGAGTATCATAAAGCATCATATAGTACAATGGTGCTGAGTTGATTTATGGATGATAGGAACACCAACAGCTACTGTTCTTGTATTTACTGAGTCTTTTGCTATGATCCCATAGTTTCTTGTGCTGAATGAATTGTTCCGCTTCCAGAGTGAGCTTCTATATTTGTTTCTATCTTCTAATACAAAAACTAACACTACTCAGGAGATTGTTATGCGTTTTGGTGCCAACTGTAGTACTTAGTTCAGGTGGATTTTGTTTGAGTGACTTTTGTCCAGTAGTAAAGAGTTTTGGGATACTATTACTGATTTGCTAGTTTAGAATATAACCTTAATTGTTCATAAAACTGAAGCAGGTTATAGCGAGATTCCAACAGGATATTAGTGGGTAGTGTAAGCTTGACATCTGTGGAAGTGCCTACACAATGGAATATTGGGTTGGCTTTTTATTCTTGTATTGCATCACTGGTATATAAGAGATTGTCTCTGCCCCAAGAAGTTTGCAATACTGAAGGCCCCAATACTGCAGAAAGCTTACATATAACTTTACCCTCTTGAGTAGTTCCATGGAAGTAAAGTTACACATGTACTTGAGGGTGGAAAGGGAAAGGAGACAACAGTAAACAGTGGGAAGGGACTGTTGAGAGATCACTGATTTAGCAAGGAAAGCAGAATGTATATGTTGCTTGCTTGCTTACATTTTAAATTATGGGTAGGTGTCAAAGAAGGGAATAGGTGAAACCACATGGAGGTCTGTGGTGTGAAGTTAACAGAAAACTGAGAGATGTGAAGGAAGAACCCATTGTTGCCTGGCATTCAGAAAGATGGAGACTATTCCAGGCACAGAGGGTAGTGTTAATACAGGGGTGGGGGCCATATGCCTTCTCACCTCTATCTATCAATCAGTCATCTAGGTATGATTTACAGGATAATACGGAGTGTCAGTGCAGAGAGGGTGCTTGCAAACGAGACACTTTCAGATGTGTTTAGATTTCACTTCTTGATGGAAGCTAATTGAATAACTCTAGTTTATTTGTGTGCTCTGGCTTAGAATTTGCATGTCAATCATGACAGCAGTTCTGTTTCTATCTGTTATTTCAGTCAGTAAATATGTGTGTACGTGGGGAATTATACTTGCTCTCAGGCAATGCCACAGAAACAGTTTCTCACTGAGATTTAGTAAAGTGTGGAAAGCTTGCTTTGTATTGTGAATACTCAGATGGGGATTGTAGAGGGAAACTAAAGTGAAACCACATAATTGAATTCCTAATGCAAGAATAAATATGTTGAAACATTTAGTGTGACCAAACGTCTGTCAATAATGAGAGCACAAATTTTTAAATGAGTAACAGATTCAAGGAATGAATGCTAATTAGTCATTCTGCTATCTTTTTAATATGTACAGTAGGCGTCAGTCCTGCTAAACTACATCTGTTCATTTATGTTCATTTTAAATAACAAAAATGCTCTTTGATTAACTTCTTGTTAATTATATAAAACATGACTAGCAAAGTAACTTTTTTTTTGCGCTTGAGAATTTCACTATAGGTAAGACTGTTTTACCAGTCTATTTCATGACCATAAACTGATATTTACAGTTTTTTTTCCTTTCAAATTCTACCACCAAATCACAGAAGAAACAAACCTAAAACTAGATATAATATTGTGTCCTCTGTTACTGCAGAGCATTAATGTACCCTGCTACTAGAGCTCTGCTGACATAACCTTTGAAAGTGAGGCACATTCAAGGGCATAAATACAATACAGCCGTGCTGGGATGTGTTCCATAAAAATACGGGGGGGGGGGGGAATGTTTGACAAGTAGAACAGGATAGGAAGTCAGTAGAGTAGAGAAGAAGGATGGTCTTGTGGTTAAGGCACTGGATTGGAATTCAGGTGACTAGATTTCAATTCCTGCCTTCGCGACAGAGACCTCCCCTCTGATGGTATGTCTACACTGGCAGAGTTACAGTGCTGGCCGTTACAGCGCTGCTCAGAGAATGCTGAAGGGAAACCATTGTTGTGTGTTCACACTGTCAGCTGCCCGTGCAGAGCATCTCTTCCTCTTCTGCTGCTAAGAGCTGTGGGAAGGCAGAGGGGGGTCGTGGGATATCCTGGTTCCTGTCCCAATGCCCCGTGATGCATTGCTTTGCATCCCAGCAATCCCCATGCTTCCATCTGCATTTGGCGCCATCTTTCAACAGTTTGTGTACTGCATGCTCTGCTCTGCCTCTTTGGGCTGCAGGAATGGATTCCACACTGTTGACCAATGTGCTGCTTGCTCTCACTACCACGTCATGAGTGGCAGTGGAGTTATTCCTTAAACTACAAAGGCAAGAGGAGTGCAACATTGATCTCACCATACTTGCCAGCTACGACACCAGATTGCATGTGGCATTTACAAAGGTGCTGACGACAGCACCTTTGGGCTTGGGAAACAAGCACTGAGTGGTGGGATCACATCGTCATGCATGTCTGGGATGATGAGCAGTGACTGCATAACTTTCGGATGAGGAAAGCCACATTCAGGGGACTGTGTGATGAGCTCACTCCAACTTTGCGGCGCAAGGACATGAGAATGAGATCTGCCCTGCCCTTGGAGAAGCGTGTGGCGATTGCACTGTGGAAGCTGGCTACTCCAGACTGCTGCCGTTCGGTAGCTAACCGGTTTGGAGTGGGAAAGTTGACTGTTAGACTCGTGTTGATGGAAGGGTGCAGGGCCATTAATTGCATCCTGCTCCGAAAGACGGTGACTCTGGGCAACGTGCCTGACACTGTGGATGGCTTTGTGCAAATGGGCTTCCCTAGCTGCAGAGAGGCGATAGCTGGCACGCATATTCCAATTCTGGCACCAGACCACCTAGCCACCAAGTACGTTTATCGGAAGGGGTATATCTCAATGGTTCTCCAGGCACTTGTGGATCACTGTGGGCGTTTCATGAACATTAATACAGGCTGGTCCGGAAAGCTGCATGATGCACACATCTTTCAGAACGTTGGTCTGTTCAGGAAGCTGCAAGCAGGGACTTTCTTCCCAGACCAGAAGATCACCATAGGGGAAGTTGAAATGCCCACTGTGATCCTTGGAGAGTGTGCGGACCCCTTAATGCCATGGCTTATGAAGCCATACGCGGGGCACCTTGACAGCAGCAAGGAGCGGTTCAACAACATGCTGAGCAGAATGACTGTTGAGTGTGCTTTTGGCTGTTTAAAGGCTTGCTGGCGCTGCCTATATGCTCTGGCTGATGACAATATTCCTAGGCTTATAGCCGTGTGCTGTACGCGCCATAATATTTGTGAAGGGAAGGGTGAAAGCTTCACTCAGGGCTGGACTGCAGAGGCTCAGTGCCTGGAGGCTTATTTTGAACAGGCAGAGACCAGGGCTATTAGAGGGGGACAGCGCAGGGCCATAAGGATCAGGGATGCCTTGAGGCAGCAATTTGAATCTGAAAGCCACTAATATTTGTTGCTATGCTCGGGATTGCAGTGCTTGTAATGCTAAGAGGTGACTGTGATTGGTGCAGATGATGTACTATGAAGGTTTAAGAAAATTGCCTGTTGCTTTGCAGGGCTCTGTTTACTTTCAATTAATGAAATAAAAGATTGCTTTCAAACCAAAACAATTCTTTTATTAAAAAGCAACAACTAGAGGAGAGAGACAAACAAAAAACCACATCACCGCTGAGGGGGATGCGGGAAGGGAGAGGGTCTTAGGAGGAGGTGGGGTCCCAGGATGGTTAAAGATTTGTGTATGTCCAGGTATCATATCCAACCTTGTCCTTTGGAGTACAGTGCAGCGGGTACTGTACTT